CACATTCCTCCAAAAAATCACCTCAGTTTGATAGATTGGTTGGATGAATATTCAGCCGAGGATTTTCAGGTAATGTAGATAAAAAAATAACAGTTTATTTAGACTGTCACAGTGTGTGTGTGTGTGTGTGTGCGTGTGTGTGTGTAGTGATTGCAGAATTCCTGATTAACCTCAGATAATCTAAATGTAAAATACAGATTACCGAAGTATTAGAAGGCAGTGGGAACTTCAAACACGTAAGAAAACAGTATAATCCGTTCAGAAAGATCCACACTTTCTGCTTACACTACAGCATTTCTTCGTCAAATCGACAATGGGAAACACTACCCAGGATCAGTCCATCTGTTTTACGTTTGACTTAACTGAACTAAACTTTAAATCCCTCTGTCACACCTGTTAACTTATGTGTTGTATATCTGCAATTCTGTCCCAATTGGCGGGAGAATTCAAAAACTCAGCGTATTTGATTTTTTAGAGTAATTCAAAAACTGTAATAATTATGATTCTCAGAAGTAATCAATTTGACTAAAATATTACTGATAACTTCAGCTAATTACTAGGTAGGGTCGATTAGTATCAGTAAACTGTGCAATCGCTGAAGCAGAGTAGTGAGAAAAACGATAAAATAAATTCAGTAGTATGTAATTATAGTAGTGTATTCCTGATTAGGCAAAGGAGATGTTCTCAAGTGATGAAATGATCGATATCATCAAATGGTTAGTGACATGGAAAAGTCGCTATTATTATACTGACTTTTTGGTCATTCAGTGCTAAGTAATGAGCACTGAAAGCAGTCTGCATCACATACTGTTAACACCAGAATCAGACTCAGGGTTGTGTTCTGTCAATTGTTTTACTTTGCATTCAACAGCCACTACTCCCCGAAACTGTGCGCATAGTTGAGTCCAGTACTGAGACAAGTCTAAGTATTCTTAGACTCTATAGGTTTTTCGCTCGGTATTATGATCATAACTGATATATTCTGAGATAAGTGATCTGAAATAACTTGGTCTGAAACCAGATCTAAAATAGTGAACTGACGAAAATTTCTTGTTGTCAACTATTTTTTTGATTGCAACTGATTTCATACTGAATACATTTTCTGAAGAGATAATTTTAAAAAACAATTTTAGTAATTCAGCGATACTACTTGCTTAAATGAGTAGGGGCTACCTAATTTTCCATCCATCATACTACAAGAAGTTTTCGTCATTTCACCTTATTTTAATTAATTTAGTCACGTCCTTAGGTTGTGATGTCTAAGTATGCAGGATGATAAACACTTTTTGGCTGAAAATACCGTCGACTACTATTTCTCTGTAAGATTCTGTACAGGAAATGGGCATTTGGTGGGAAAAAACACTCAAAAACAACTTTGTACCGTAGTGTATTGTTCATAATCAAACGACATAACGCCTCGTTACGTTGACGATACATTTGTAATAAGTAAAAGAAATGTGATTTACAATATATCCATAAATTAATAAACAACATATTCGAAGACATCAAATTCACAAGAGAAGAAGAATTACAAAGATTAAATGTTCACTGTAACCAGAAGTTTCTTTCATGTAAATCCTCGTCTAATATGTGAAAGTTATTAAAGGAAATCACAGGTGGTAAGCAAATAATGAATGATACCTCTGTCGGTGTTGACATGCTTAATAAATCCTTCATATGTATCCCTGCAGATGTTATGATTCCTAACTCTAATAGTGTAAATAATGACTGCTTCTCATGCTTTAATGCGAATGATGTCCTCAAGTGTCTTCAATCTCTCAAACCTACTCAGTCCCTTGGTCCTGATGGTGTTCCTGCTGTTATCCTTAAGAAATAAGCTGAGATCTTATGTTCCCCATTAACCGATATTTTCAACGAATTGTTTTCCAAAAGTATTATACCTGACTCATGGAAAAATATCAAGATTGTTCCAGTGCCTAAATCAACAAGTGGACCTAATGTTAAGTTTAGACCCATTGCTATTACCTCACCTTTTTTGAAAGTTATGGAAAGACTTATTTTACTTAATTTTGAACCCTTTTTAAAGCCTTTCAATGACCCCAACCAGTTTGCTTTTAAACATAGTAGGTGTACCTTAGATGCCGCTGTTGTCCTATATCATAGTATAGTCTCTAGTTTAGATAGAGGAGCTAAATACGTTCGGTGTGCCTTCCTTGATTACACATCTGCATTTGACTCTGTACCTAGGTCTCTCTTGCTAAGTAAGCTTGCTGCAACACAGGCTGAGAGCTGGACAAATAAGTGGCTGCATTCCTATTTTTCTGATAGGAAGCAGTACACCGTCTACAATGGAAAGTCCTCCACTACCTCACTTACTTTAGCTGGTGTTCCTCAAGGTGCTGTTCTTTCTCCTTTTCTGTTTTCTTTTTTCTTACATGACTTGCCCCATTCTGATGTAGCCACTTTTGTTAAGTATGCTGATGACCTCTCTGTTTCTATGCCTGTCAACTCTCAGTCAGATTGTTCCAAATTAAATAACTTTCTATCGGAAATTAGTCAGTGGTCCTCTTCAAACGGTCCTAAGCGGAATCCATCTAAATGTCAGGTAGTCAATTTCACTTTCAGACGTAAACGTGACCTACAACAACTAGTTAGCTCACATGGCCCCACTAGCATTGACGGCATAGAGGTTAAAAATACATCTAATGTCAAGTACCTTGGGCTGAGTTTTTCCACCGATCTTTCTTGGTCCTCCCATATCTTGCTAGTTACTAGAAAGATGTTTCGCTTAATGTTCTACGTTTGGAAGTTAAGGCAGTCTGGTATAAAGCAGTCTTCGCTTTCTCACTTTGTCAATTCTTGTATTCTACCCATCCTCCTTTACTGCTCCCCACTAATCCTTCCTGGACTACTTAAGAAAGACTTTGCTTTGCTGAGAAGGGCACTAAAAGCCGTTAGTAGGGCAAGTGGGATATCATTAAACCAACTGGTTAACACTATTGTGGATAGACATATAATGTCATGTAAGAAACTAGCGAATACAATATTGTCAGACCCCGAGCATCCTCTCCATACACAGTTCTCTCCTTGCATTTCATCTTGTAGAACTAGAAGCAGCTATAGGAGGCTATATGCTAGGACTACCAAGTACAAAAGCTCCACAATACCTTATCTGACACAGCTGTTATGCGATAAGGAATCCGTTAGGTATGACACGATCAACTTACTGCGGCACTCTAACAAATAGTTCCCATTAGTCTTTGTTTTCCTTTCTTCGTTACTATTATATTGATGTTCTCATCTTCTATTACACACTAATTTTATATTTCATATCCTGTGATGCATTGTTTGAAATGTAAACGCAACGCTGTTGTTTTTAGTTAATTTTTATTTATCTTTTTTTTGGTGTTGCTTTTTGATTGTAAAATCTTATAAAATTTATGAGGTAATTAGATGGAATATATTGCAATGCATGCTGAAAATTCCATACCTGTACCACAAATACTGTTTGGAATAAAGCTGCTAATATTATTATTATTAAAATTAGATAACAAGATCCCATTTCTAGATGTCTTAATCAGGAGAACCAACACAGGAATTTTAGAAACGCAAGTATATAGAAAACTAACGCACACAGATCAAATACTCAATTATACTAGCAATAATCCAATTACTCACAAAAGAAACTGTGTGCGGACATTGTTCACAAGAGGGTTCAAACACATTGTAGCACTCCAGCGTTGAAAAGAATGGAAGAAAAAAATACCTACTGATGGCCTTCAAAAAGAATGGTTATCCACAAAATGTCGTCAAAAAGTGTTCAAAATCGAATCACAACACCAACAAGGAACCATCATCAAAGACCACAAGAAAAGTTATCCTACCATATATATAGGCGAAAATATCTCTGAAATAACAGCTAGAATATTGAAACCGTTTGAAATAGATATAGCACACAAGCTAGCCAGACAGCCAGCCAGTTCAATCACTTTATTCGATATTGTGCAAACCGAAAGACACATCCAACAGAAAAAGGAGATAAAATTATTACCATTTGCAAAATAAACTGCATGTATGAACTGTAACAGGCATTACATCGGTGGTCGAAGTGGGTGGGCGTCCCCAGGGAGTCGAATCACAATCCAGGAACACAAATCAGCTGTGAAAAGTTATGATATATACATTCCTTTTTCATATCAATGCATAGAGACAATTATGGACATCAGTTTGATAACTGAGATAACGTCGAAATTTTAGACAGGGGAAACACCACCAAAAATGTAGTCAGGGTATTCCTAGAAGCCTGATATTCAACTGAATATTTGATTAACAAACGTGTTAATATAGACCAAATCTACCAACTAATAAAAATTAGATCATGTGACAAGAAAGCTGAAAATCCAAGTCAATAGAAAATGATCCACACATATGTAAAGATGGTTACCGGGAGACGCAATTCTATCTATCACTCATGGTAAAAAATTTAAATCAGTTCACTTCATGATGAAAATTGCGCTGAAGGGGGATGTTGTACAGCAGGGAGCGGGGAGGGGACGACGACGACGACGAAAGCTCCGCAACTAAACCAACCAGCTCCTCAGAGAACACTATTAATTAATTGCAAATCACCCATCCACCTGAGCTACAATTCTTCTCTATTCGTTTCAAAATTTATATCACTGTTATTCGGATTATGAGTAAATAATTATGTGCACTTCAACATTATTATAACTTAATCTCACATCTCGGTGAATAAATAAATGTTCAATATTCAAGTGGTGTGTAACGATTTACATTCATATGAAAAAAGCAAAAAGTCACTAACAATTTTAACAAGACTGTTTATATTATTATACTTAATAGAAGAAGAAATGATGATTAGAAATTGCAAAGTCAGTGCTATTTACACAAAAGAAGAAAATGTTGGCTGAATAGTAAAACTGACCAGTGACCAGGCATGTCTGACACTATTTTGACTTAGAATAATAATAATATGAATGATATTATACTTTTACTTGGCAACAGGTGACTCGCTGAAATCACTTGGTAACGTTGTAGAATTTAGGTATCACTCTAAAAAGCAATTTAAAACAAAAAAGAGGCAACTGAACAGTGGGCATAGTAGCCTTCAGGATTTCATCATGAGCTCATATTGGATAGAGAACCATTGGAAAACCAACCAAGAAGTACTGCTAAACAGCTGTTTTCCCCTCCCAGTTTGGGGCTCTTCGGCAGTACACACCCACCCGACTGCGGTTCGAACTCACGACCTTCTGGTTACAAGGCTAGCGAGTGAGCCCGTGGACCATTAAGCAGCCACTGGGAACCGATCCAATGGCCAGCCAGTGCATGAATTCTAACTTATGCGAATTCATGCACGACATAGCACAACCGCTAGCCAATGTCTTTGGTGGCGAGTATTTGTCCTCACACCCGACCTGCTTCACCCTCCCACTGGTCACGACTTCCCACTGGAACCCACCTACCTGAGTAGGGCGAGTCGCCAGTAAGCATCTCATTGATATTCAAGTATTGGTCTGTAGGGATTCAGTTGATTGGTTACAGGATTTCATCATGAGCTGACATTAGTTAGAGAACTATTGGAAAACCTGGGGGTACTGGAGAGCTGTTTCGTCCTAGTTTGGGACTCTTCAGCCATTGGATCGGGTCCCAGTGGCTTAATGGTATACGAGCTCGCCTTGTGATCAGTAGGTCCTGGGTTTGAACCTCTCTGATGGGTGCACACTGCAGAAGAGCCCCAAACTAGAACGAAACAGCTGTCCAGTACTTCCAGGTTTTCCAATGGTTCTCTAACCAACTGATGTCAGCTCATCATGAAATCCTGTAACTAATCAGTCAAATCCCTACAAACCAACACTTGAATAATAATTATGATTATTGTTGATTATTTGAAGCCGGTCCTCTGAATTCTGATAACTATCCACACTTTTAACTAATTTTTACATATATATATATATATATATATATATATATATATATATATATATATATATATATATATGACTGCTTTTATAACTCACTGTGGTTGTTTTCGTTCTTTTTCTCTATTGTTATCGTTCAGGGAATTAAGGTGTTCCAGGAACTTCTCTGAAATAAATGATTAAGTAGTGAGTAGGTTGAAAATAAATACTGCATTACCTCTTCTCTCTTTCCGATTCTTTTCAATATTTTTAAATATTGCAAATCTCGATTCACTGTTCAATAGGGCATCATTTGTTTGCTGACTAATGCTGGTAGGTGGTGATGACTACAATAAAATGAATAAAATAATTATTAATAAATAATTAGTCAAACAAAACAGCTTTTTGAGAATGTGATTACCTGTCTTCTACTGGACATCCTCATCATCATTTCTTCTGTTGGCACGCTAAAATACAAAACGACAAAAAAAGGTAAAAAACATATTCAGAGAAAGTGAATGACAATTTTTAGAATAGTATATAATGGGCACTAACTAACTACATCGTGCTGTTTGTGGTTGGTGTTGAGTAGCACTGCAGTGCAGTGCAGTGTCTGTAACAACAGAGGACAAGGGCCAGGAAACAGATCGTTTATTGACGAAATCAACACATTTATAGATTTTCATGTACATATTATATGTTTATATATATATATATACGACCAATATTGGGGACATAAACATTGACGTAAATTACTGTCCACCAATTTTCTCTAACAGCCAGCTCACACAACATGTCTGGTGTGGGTACACATTTTTTCCTTTTTGGGGCAAAATTCAGTTAGATTTACCTGCATGCACAGCGGCGTCTGGGTGCGGGGTATGATTTTTCCCCATTTAGACTCGAATACAGAACTAAATAATCGTTCAAATATATATTATCCACTATGCCATGATGTGTGTGTGTGTGTGTGGGATCCGAGTTTCAAAGGGAACATCATCATTCACAGAGTGTGGAGGTATATCCGGATGACAGAAGTCCCAGACAGGGTGAGATGCAAATCATCCGCAACCAAATAACATAATCATCTTGATCCTCAGACATGGTCAAAGCATCAGTACTAAAAGGTTACATGTTAACGTAGATATGAAATTATTATTATTGTTCCCTTAGGTTCCTAGTGAAACATAGGGCATCAGTTGCACATCCCAACTTGCTTCTATCTCCTGCTCTACTTTTCACCTGCATCCATGTTGATCCATACTGTTAATCCATACTCCTCTTCACACAATCTCCACCACGTCACCCATCCTTGCACTGACGTCCCACTCGCCGCGTGCTTCCCTTTCGGCCTCGTTCCACTCGAGAAATGGCCTGACGCGCGCGCCATGTCACCCAGCGACCTCCTCAGCGAGCGAGTGTCCAATCCATCCATCTCCACTTTCTCCTGCAGATTTGTTGGTTGGCGATTGGTTTGTTCTTGTTTTGTTTGTTTGTTCCCAGCCAGAGTTTCTTGTTGGTGATTCTTTCCGGCCCGGCCCGGCCCGACCATCTGATCTGATCTTCAGTATAGATCCAGCGAAGACAGTTGTTGGTTGATGAAGGTCTGGTCTGCAACAGGCTGTTGGAAATATTCTTTGTGACCCACTCGCCAAGTTTCTGATCCGTATAGAGCAGCTGACTGACTTGACGTTGTTTGTATTAAAAATCCGACCGAATTTTGTTGTTGATGCTGAGTGACGAGGATTTCCGGATTGGTTTCAGGTTGATGATGAATGTGTTTCTCGCTCGATTTGACATCCTCGTCCGTTCCGACGGCCTGTAGTTGAGACAATGCTCAATGCTAGATAAGTGAGTGAATGAAGTAACCTCTTTCAAATCCCTCCTGTGGATGGTGATTGGCGCTGGGTGTTGCTGTTGTTGTTGTTGGTTGGTTGGTTATTTTCATAACCTCCGTCTTGTCTATGTTCACCTGGAGTCCTGTCTTCGCCGGCTGCTTCTTCGACCAGTTTGTCGGTGAAATTACTGGAGATTATTTGTAAGAGGCTAAATATATTTTGAGTCTGCTTTCTCTCAATGTTTATAGTGATTCTTCCTTTAAGCTTCAAAAATTGCCGTCTTTCGATGAGTCCAATAAATAGGCTTACAGTCTCATTGATTTGAAGATTAATCTGTGATGGTAGCTGGCTGCTAGGCAAATCGGTAGACAGTAATTTACGTCGGTGTTTATGTCCCTAATATTGGCCATGTGAGAAAAGAACATGAACAAAGACTGACTCAACAACCAATCACAGCACACTTTGTTTGGGCATGTGGATACAATTAACAGAGAGATGATCTGACCTTCAAGAAACAGCCACCAATCAAAAGACTGTGTTTGTCTCCTAACAATAATCTATCATAATGTACATGAAAATTTATAAATATGTGTTGATTTTGTAAATAAACAACCTGTTTTTCCCTGACCCTTGTCTTCTGTTGTTACAATTCTACTGGATAGAGCTGTCTGTGTTAAAATATGGCTGCCTATTATCAATAAATATTCTAAGTGAATTTATAAAGTTCATAAAACTCACGTCGATATTAAAACTAATGGTTACCAGCATAAAAATAATTATAACAATGATCAACTGTAATTTTCTGTAGTTGGTTTGCAAGGATTAGTTTTGTTTTTCACGAGTTTGACCACTCACGGACTGATATCAGTTGGAGAAGCATTGGAAAACCTGACAGGGAGTACTGGACAACCAACTGTTTCATCAACCTAGATTTGGAATCATCGGCAATACGCACCCACCACAGTGCCAGGGTTCGAATCCAGGAGCTTCCGGTTACAAGTAAGGCAAGCTAGCTGGCTCGTATACCATTCAGCTACTCACTGGGACCTGACCCGATTCAGTGGCTCACGAATTGGTCCTGGCTTCGAATCCCGGTGCAGTGGGTTAGCACTGCCGATGATTCCCAAACCAGGCTGGCTGTCCAATACTCCCCCCAATGCTGGTTTTCAATGCTTCTCTCCAACTGATTGATATCAATCCGTGCATAGCGTAGTCAAACTCGTAGAAATCAACTTTAAGGAAAGAAAATTACCTGATTGTGAAATTTTCTATTTGTTTCAATTCATAACTGTAGTGATCTTCTAAATCTTCTGATTGAATTTCATTACGACACACTGGACAAATAAATTGATTAGAAGAATTACCTATTCAAGAGAAAAGCAAACCAGATAATAATAAAAATAATAAAGCGAGAATGGACTGATTTCACTGGTGATGAACTTTTCTTGTATACACTATGCCTTAAAAAATGATACACTTTGCTTTTTTAAACTTCGAGTCGAAATCAACCTTTTCAAGTATTGGTTTGTAGGGATTTGATTGATTGGTTGCAGGAGGTCATCATGAATTGACAATGGTGTGAAAACTATTGGAAAACCAACCAGGGAGTACTACCAGACAGCTAGCTGTGCTGTTTTCCCGTCCGACTAGTTTGGAACCGGGTATTCAGCAGTATGCACCCACCCCACTGACATGTTTCGAACCCAGGACCTGCCGGTTACAAAACCAGCTAGCTCGTAGACCATTGAGCAGCCAGTGGCATCCGATTCAGTGACCAGCCCATGAATTCTAACTTCTACCAATTCGTGAGCATTTGAATCAGATCCCAGGGGCTGAATGGTGTACGAACTAGTCAGCTTGCCTTGCTTGTGACCGGAAGGTTCTGAGTTCGAACAGTGGCACTGTGGTGGGTGCGTATTGCCGATGATTCCCAAACTAGGCTGATGAAATAACTGGCTGTCCAGTACTCCCTGTGGTTGTTTTTCCAATGGTTTTCTAACCAACCAATGTCAGCTCATGATGAAATGAACCATTATTTGAACAGCTGACTGCGTATACAAACATAAAATTGTTGCTTACAAGTTTTTGACACTCTCATCGGATCCTTCCACTGTACAGATTTAGTGTAGTAATTTGCGCTGAAACAAGTAATAAATATTTGGCGGTACTCCAGCTTTTCAATGGAAGGAATGAGGCGAAAAACCTATAGAGTCTAAGAATACTTAGACTTGTCTCAGTACTGGACTGAACTATGCGCACAGTTTTGGGGAGTAGAGGCTGTTGAATGCAAAGTAAACAATTGACAGAACACAACCCTGAGTCTGATTCTGGTGTTAACAGTATGTGATGCAGACTGCTTTCAGTGCTCATTACTTAGCACTGAATGACCAAAAAGTCAGTATAATAATAGCGACTTTTCCATGCCACTAACCATTTGATGATATCGATCATTTCATCACTTGAGAACATCTCCTTTGCCTAATCAGGAATACACTACTATAATTACATACTACTGAATTTATTTTATCGTTTTTCTCACTACTCTGCTTCAGCGATTGCACAGTTTACTGATACCAATCGACCCTACCTAGTAATTAGCTGAAGTTATCAGTAGTATTTTAGTCAAATTGATTACTTCTGAGAATCATAATTATTACAGTTTTTGAATTACTCTAAAAAATCAAATACGCTGAGTTTTTGAATTCTCCCGCCAATTGGGACAGAATTGCAGATATACAACACATAAGTTAATAGGTGTGACAGAGGGATTTAAAGTTTAGTTCAGTTAAGTCAAACGTAGAGCAGATGGACTGATCCTGGGTAGTGTTTCCCATTGTCGACTTGACGAAGAAATGCTGTAGTGTAAGCAGAAAGTGTGGATCTTTCTGCACGGAATATACTGTTTTCTTACGTGTTTGAAGTTCACACTGCCTTCTAATACTTCGGTAATCTGTATTTTACATTTAGATTATCTGAGGTTAATCAGGAATTCTGCAATCACTGCACACACACACACACTGTGACAGTCTAAATAAACTGTTATTATTTTTCTGTCTGCATTACCTGAAAATCCTCGGCTGAATATTCATCCAACCAATCTATCAAACTGAGGTGATTTTTTGGAGGAATGTGAAACTAAATACCCACCCTCACATCAGCATCATGCCTGCATCCTTCAGAAAAAACAAAACATAAACGAGTGTTAAAGACAGATATTTATTTGATTAAGATTCCGAATCTTTTTTTCTTTGTAAAATTGAATGGTTATTTCAAGATTTCATCATGAACTGACATCGATTAGAGAAAAACCGTTGGAAAACTCCTTAGAAGCAGTCAAAAAAGAAATAACTGCAGATCCTGAACTCAATCATAGGACGAAGTTGCCCATTGAAGAAATTATTTTAGGAATTCAGTTATGCCTGACTCACATCTACTATCTTTAAATTCCAAGACAAAAAATATATAGACAAAGAGAAGGTGTAGCAATGAGATGGATCACCAATATCCCCTATCGTAGCAGATATATTTATGGATAACTGGGAAAGTAGTGCTCTTAATACATTTAATCCCATTTCAAAAATTTGGTGAAGATATGTGGATGACACTTTCACTCACAGTATTGAAAACAGAACATATCTCTGGCTTCTTGACACATATAAACTCTCTAGTATAGGGAATAAAATTCATGTTTCAATCGGAAAATGAAGAAGGAGAATTAGCTATGTTACATTGTAAAATAAAACGAATAGAAGAAGGTAAACTGTACACACTAATGTTTATAAAAAACGAATTCTGCTAATAGATATTTAGACTTCTTTAATTCACCTCATCCGTCCGTTATCTATCTGTGAAGGCTGACTTACTTTAGTGTTTAACAAACTGAGCAGTAAATAGCACTAAGTAGTACAGTACAAGAAAACATCTAAGTAATGAAATAAAACAGACAGAAGAAGAACAAGAAGCGTTAGTGTCAAATAACTAACTAACTCTCCTATAAAATTCATGAGGAAGATCAAACAATGCCAAAAGCAATATAAAAATAATTGTGAAACTAGTAATGATAAGATAAATAAGAGAGAATATAAGGCATCCACCGTGGTTTTACCTTATAAGGAGGGAGAGGACATCTGAAACCCTCTCTACGTAGGATTCTGAATAAAGCAGGAATTAGTCTGTTGGCTAGTGTCATTCACTCCCTCACTCAGATGTCACAAGCTGTGTAGGCTAGAGGACCCTAGAGGTTAACCCAATGAAACAAAATAATATAATTTACAAAATACCCTGCAATGACTGTGAGTTAGATCAACTACATACGTCAAACTAGTACGTCGGTCGGGGTAGTCAGATTGACCCCGAGAGGATGATTAATTTAAAAAAAGAAGCTCAGCACTACATTGCACTGCATTAACACACAACCATACAATATCATGGTGGGAGAGGGTTAAGATTCTAAGAAGTAATCTATGTAGGTCGAGAGACAGAGAGAGATTGATTACTGAATCCTGCCTGGTTCATTGAGTCTACACAACCGAAACAACACAACACATGCAACAGAAATGACTCAATACAAATACCAGAAATATGGAAGATATTAATACCGTCGGTCAGATCAGAAGAAGATAATAAATAATCTTAAATTGTATTCTATTTCAATTCAATTCACGTACATCAATCATCGCAGCATTCTAGCAAGTTACTTATTTTCACTATTAAAAAACAACACTAGTCTTATTTCCCATCTGATTGTAATTGATCAATAACACTCATATTATTATTAGTATTATTATTTCTGAATGTACATCATCCAGTATTGATTTTTATTCCAATATCTAATCATCAGTTCTACTCATGTATATAAATGAAATGAGAAAGTCGTGTGAGTGAGTGAGTGAGTGAGTGAGTGAGTGAGTGAGTGAGTGAGTGAGTGAGTGAGTGAGTGAGTGAGTGAGTGAGTGAGTGAGTGAGTGAGTGAGTGAGTGAGTGACTTGATATGATTATGAGTGGCAATAATGAATTGTGCTCGAAACGTGGTCGCATCAGTTAATATTACTGTATAACACTCACTGCACTGTGTGACAACAGTTTATCAAAATAAAATCTTATCCATAATAGAGTTATACTCTACCACCACCACAGTGCTCAAATTTTTATAATTATATCAATAACCATTGCAAAACCACCACTGGAGTTCTGAACAGCTGTTTCCCCCGTCCTAGTATTTAAATTCTTCATCAATACTCATCCAATGCACTGATGTTCGAACCCACCAACTTCTAGTTACAAGGCAAGTTAGCTGGCTCGTAGACCATTAAGCCACTGGAACCCACCAGTCTAATAGTCCATGAATTCCAGCTAGAACAACATACCTGTCCATTACTTCCAATTTTCTCAATGGTTCTGAAACCGATTTCAGTTCGTGATGAAATCCTGAAACCAATCAATCGAACTCCTACAAGCCAACACTTGAATGGCTGTTTAAGAGATGGACAGAGAGTGTAATAATGTGTTACATTATTATCTTATTATCTGTGTAATGCACACTGAAAGTCTTCATGATAAAAGAAGGATTGCATGGAGGATTTAATCATGAGCTGACATCAGTTAGAGAACCACTGGAAAACCTGGAGTACTGGACAGCTGTTTCCTCCGTCCTAGTTTGGGACTCTTCAGCAGTACGCACCCACCGCTAATGTTCGAACCGATGAACTTCTGGTTACAAGGCGAGTTCGTAGACCATTGAGCCACTGGGACCCGATCCAATGGTCCTTGAATTCTAAAATCTGCCAATTCACGACATAGCGCGACCACTTCGCAATGTCTTCTTCGATGAGTTACTGCCTCATCTTCAACCTGCTGTACCCTACTGGGAAGCCGTGACCAGAATTCAAGGACGATTGGATCGGGTCCCAGTGGCTCAATGGTCTACGAGCTCGCCTTGTAACCAGAAGGTCCTGGGTTCGAATCCGGTGGGTGCGTACTGCTGAAGAGTCCCAAACTAGGACGGAGGAAACAGCTGTCCAGTACTCCCAGGTTTTCCAGTGGTTCTCTAACTGATGTCAGCTCATGATTAAATCCTCCATGCAATCAAACAAAATCCCTACAAAACCAGTACTTGAAAAGAAGGATTCCCTCTGCTCCCAGCATTTAGGAAAGAAACCATTCTCCACCCGAGGAGGATAATGACATACAGTAAAATGCAACACTCACTGTTGACATCTATAAGTAAGTAAGTAAGATGGTGGATAAATAATACAAGCTCAAAATACCTATGTTTAACAGTCTACAGAAACATGAATCGAATCCATCTTGATGCTGTATGCATTGCATAAAATTTAAGAGGCTGACTCACTCACTCACTATAAAG